TGGCAGAGAAAATGAACCTGATCCAGACCCTTAGACAGCATCATTAAGATGTCGTGATTTCTGTAAGCACGAAAGTATTAAGCCTTTCTAGTCTTTTCCCTCACAGGGAGGATGGCAGCTGACCAGCCTTTTGTACACTTAGAGTGATTTGTAAGACAGGAATGGGACAAACCAATCTCTGCTCCTGGGACTCATGAGGAGAAACCTCTGGCCAACCCAGCTTTTTTGTTTTTTGTAATGTTTTTATTTAAATTAGAAACATGAATGCTTCACATGTCAATCCCAGCTCCCTCTCCTACTCCTCCTCCCTTCTCCCTCCACCAGCCCTTCAGCCCCCACCCCATCCCTACATCATTCCCCAGGGAGGATGAGGCCCCTCCTTGGGGGGATCTCTAAAGTCTGTCATTTCATCCAGGGCAGGACCTAGGCCCTTCCCCGTGTGTCCAGGGTGAGAGAGCATTCCTCTATTTGAATGGGCTCCCAAAGATCATTCATAAACCATGGTAAACACTGACCTACTACCCAAGGCCCCAGTGATTTCTGTGGCCTCCTCACTGAGACTACATTCATGGAGTCTGGATCAGTCCCCTGTTGGCCTCTCAGGCATCAGTCTGGGATTCAAGAGCTCCCGCTTATCCGGTCAACTGTCTTTGTGGGTTTCACCATCACAGTCTTAACACCTTTTCTCATCACTCCTCCATCTCTGGCACTAGGTTCCAGGAGTTCAGTTCAGTGCTTAGCTGTGGGTATCTGTCTCTGCTTCCATCAGTCACTGGATAAAGGTTCTAGGATGGCATATAAGGTAGTCATCAACCTTACTATCAAGGAGGGGCATTTAATATAGTTTCTACACTATTGCTTAGTTTGCCAGCTGGTGTTATCCTTGTAGATCTCTGGAGATCTCATTAGTGTCAGCTCTCTCCTCAAGCCTATCTGTTATGGTATCTCTCATCCTGTTCTCCTCTATTCTTACCTCAACTCAACCTTCCTGCTCCCCCATACCTTCTTCTCATGTCCTCTTATTCCCCTCTTTTTTCTGGCTCTGTCTCCCCTCCCCCGATGTTCCCAATGTGCTCAGGAGATCTTGCCACATTCCACTTCTCTGGGGTATCATCCATCTCTCTTGGGAACCTCCCTGTTTCCCAGACTCACTGGCACTGGGATTGTGGGCTGAGACTCCCCTGATATACATCTAAAATCCATATATGAGTGAGTACATACCATGTTTGTCTTTTTGTGTCTGGGTTACCTCACTCAGGATGGTTTCCTCTAGTGCCTACAAATTTCAAGATTCCATCCCCCCCTGCTAAGTAGTACTCCATTGTGTAAATGTACCACCTTTTCTCTATCCACTCTTCAGTTGTGGGGCATCTAGGTCACTTCCAGGATCTAGCTATTACATGTAATGCTGCTATGAACATAGTGGAACAGACATTCTTGTTGTGTGAATGGGCGTCTTTTGGGTATATGCCTAAGAGTGGAATTGCTGGGTCTTGTGGTAGACTGATTCCCATTTTCCTGAGGAATCTCCATACTGATTTCCATAGTGGCTGTACAAGTTGGCACTCCCACCAGCAGTGGAGGAATGTTCCCCTTTCTCCACATCCTCTCCAGCACAAACTATCATTGGTGTTTTTGATTTTAGCCATTCTGACAGAAGTAAGATGGTATCTCAGAGTTGCTTTGATTTGCATTTCCCTAATGGCTAATGATGTCGAACACTTTATCAAGTGTCTCTCTGCCATTTTATACTACTCTATTGAGAATTCTCTATTTAGTTCAGTCCCCCACTTTTTAATTGGATCCTTTGGTGTTTTGGAGACTTGCTTATTGAGTTCTTCGTAAATTTTGGAGATCAGCTCTCTGTCAGATGTGGGGTTAGTGAATATCTTTTCCCAATCTGTGGGGTGTCTTGTTGTCTTGCTGACTGTGGCCATTCCTGTTTTGTGCTCATTTTTAAACTCAGTGTGCACTGATAGACATGATTGACATGCTTTTAAAAACCTTTCAGTGTTTGTGTGTATAAATATGTTTAGGATCATTTTGGACTACATAAGAGCAATTGCTTCTGTGGTGGGGAAGTTCTGTGTATATGTCAATAAATCACTGTTGGCCAAAAGGGAAGCAAGATAGGTGGGACTAGATGTCAAGGAGTATGCTGGGTAGGAGAAATACAGGGAGTCAAGATGTAACCACCATAGGGATAAGAAGCCTGGAAACTTCTCCGGTAAGAGAAATACTTAGATTAACAATTATGGGGTAAATACTTAAGTCAGAGCTAGCCAGTAAGAAGCAAGCAAGGCCAACAGCTTCATAATTAATACAGTGTCTTGTGTGTTATTTGGGGACTACAATGCAGCAGAGCCCAGTCGACTGGTCAGGAAAAACCAAGCGGCAGACAAGGAAAAGGCTTCTCTCAACATAATGGTGTCAGAACGGGATTGAATTTCCATGTAGAACGACAGAAGATTTAAAGGAATTTTAGAAACAAAAGAATGGAGAAAAGCATGGGTTCTTGGCAGCAGCATTTTTCTCAGGTGAGCTCTGTTCTGCTAGCGACAGATTAAGGGAGTCTTCCTGACTCAGCATAAAAAAAAAAAAAACCCAGCAAGGTTCTTTTAAGAGGCTCTGCTAATGATTGAAAGGTCTGTACGTACAGCTGGAAGTGGCAGTGACCACATCTCCAAGGCGGCAGCTTTTGCTGGATGTCACCATAGATTGATTCAGTAAGCTGGAGTCATGCGTACGCCCGCCATCTTGGAAAAACGGCAGTTAAACAGCCATGGTTTTAACAGATAAGAGACATGGCCAGAAAAACATAAAGATTTACAGTAAAGTCAGACTTGGATGATGAAAAATCTCTAAATGTTTACAGTGTGTTTAAAAATATACATAAGATTGAGAGAGAAAAAGAAACGACATAGTGGTAAATAAATATAGAATCTGGCTGTGGTGGCGCAATCCGGTAGGATTTGCTGCAGAGGCAGAGGCAGGCGGATTTCCAAAGAGAAACCCTGTCTCAGAGAAATAATAAAGAAATAAAAGTAAAAGAAATACAGTAATAATATATATAAATAAATAAGCCACGTAGAATGGAAAATACACAGAAAGTCTAGATACTGTATTGTATTGTGTTTTTCAGTTGTTTTATTGCTAAGGAAGGAACAACTACTAAAGTACACTTGATTATAAATGCTGCTGAATTAATTCAACTTATATCTTTTGAAAATGCCTTGACTTCAAAATTTAAGTATAAGGATATGTTACTTTGGAAAAGAGTTTTTGTTTATGTTTCTACAGAAAATAAAGAGCTGAGGATTCCTTCCAGGCTTCTGTGGTTTGATGAACCAAGACCCCGGAAGCAATGGCCCAAGTGATTCAACATCTAAAACAGCTAAGATGATGGAACCTTACAGACCCTGAAAATAAGGACTTATACGGTTTTAGGTTTAGGGTTTTTCTTGACAATGAGATATGTCTGCTCCTGGCAGCACCAATTATGTCTGAGAGGAAGATGGGCATCGAAGAAACTTATTATGGAGTTTGCTTTCAACATGGCAAGATTAGGCATTTGGGCAAGAAACTGCTCTTGCCTAGACTGCTTGAATGTGGCTGTATAAACTGGACATGCAGGACCCACAGGAAAGTGACTGTTGAACTCAAACAATCCTTCAGGGTTCCTGGTCATGGAAGAATCTAAGAGACTTTCTACAGGATACAGAAAAATGACTGACAGACTGCCAATGCAGATGGACAGTTTAAAATTTCCTGCTTTGCTGAGAAGTCTTCTCGACACAATGTGGCATATGGGCTGAAGATGGACGCCCTGACATTACAGAGGAACTTTGGGTGACTGTCCAGGTAGCAAGATGTCTCTGTCAATTCTAGTGTTTATATATTATCCTTCTGTGGTCTTTGATGGAGTTGAAGACAGATAGTTATAATTATAGTTTTCCTTAGTTATGATAAAAGATAAGCTACATATAGGACTTTGGACTCACAAGGATGGGATGGATGATATTTTCTTTAAATCTTGCCAAATGTTGATAGACAAAATATTGTAAAGGTGTTCTTAATTGATAACTGTTCTGTTATATAAAATTTTATTATGTTAAAGTTAGGACCTTTCTTTTTGTTTAGACAGAAAGGAGGAGATGATGGGGAAATCCTGTGTATATGTCAATAAAGCACTGTTTGGCCAATAGGGAATCAAGATATGTGGGACTAGCTGTCGAGGAGTATGCTGGGTAGGAGAAACACAGGGAGTCAAGATGCAACCACCATAGGGATAAGAAGCTTAGAAACTTCTCCGGTAAGAGAAATACTTAGATTAACAATTATGGGGTAAATACTTAAGTCAGAGCTAGCCAGTAAGAAGCAAGCAAGGCAAATAGCTTCATAATTAATACAGCGTCTTGTGTGTTATTTTGGGACTACAACACAGCAGAGCCCAGGCGGCTGGTGGGGAAAAACCAAGCTGCTGGCAAGGAAAAGTCATCTCTCTACACTTCTGTGTCTTTTTATTTTCACGCTAAAATTCAAGGATTCAGGAAATTTAAATTTCAGAATGAAAAGCCTGGTTTCTAGGTATTATCTCTATCAGGCTTATCTAAAATTAACATGTGAATTTTAAGTATATTTCTTAAAATGATTTGGGCACTTTCAAGTGCTAATTATGGAAACTTAGGTTGAAGGACAATCTTGATTACAAAATTTAGTTGAGATAGCCTAAAGATAGCTAAACACATCTTTTTATTAAGAATCTAAACTGCTGTGCTAGACTTGCTACACAAAGTGTCAAATGGCATTAGTTTCAGGATTGACCCGTGTAAGGAGATATTTTTGAGGTGTTTCATTTTATACACACATGTATTGAGGATGGTGAGATGGGCTAGCCTTTGCTTTGACGTAGTTGCTAAGAGACATTACACTTTGTTAAGAATAATGCATTTTAGTATCAAATTAAAATATATTAATCGTGCTCCTTTGCTCTGTTTCTTAGGCTCCTTGATGTGGATGTAATAGTTTAATGGCACAAGGTGACCTCAGAAGGTTCGTACTAAGGGACACCACAAAGTCACACCATGCAACAGAGCTCCCATGGGAGGTTTATGGGGGGGAGAGGTGCAGAGGTGGTCTCTGAGGCAGTGTAGAAGGAAAGAGAGAAGGACAAGAAGGACCTGCATTTTATAAGTTGCCAGCACATTGGGAGAGTGCTCTACTTGATGGCTACAGCAGCTACAGTGTCACATCTTGGCTGCTGCTGAGTGTCCTACTAGTTCTCATGACAATAGTGTAAACTAACAGTGAAGCTTGAAAACAGGGCTCAGAAGAAGAAATCTTGAGGACCATCTAATATGAAAAATGGAGGGGAGGGGGAATTGAAGCAAACCTCTTACTGGTGCCTGCAGACTACAATAAATTGGAGGAGAGTAATTGGTAGAGGAGATAGTATTATTTGAGTCCCAGGTTGGGAAAATGAAGCAGAAACCATAAGCCTTTTTCAAGTGGGAGATGCTGTCCGGGATTTTTATTGGAAAAATAGATGGAAAAATCTATGAGCAGATACATTCTTTGTTCTCCATTGAACGTTCCTTGAAGGGTGGAGATTGCTCTGACATTCTTGCATTTTTATCCCTCCAGGACTACCAAAGTTTTCATCCCTATTAATACACTAAAGGAAGGATAGCTGGGAAAACAGTCAAAAAAGGTGAAGAGTGAGGAAGCCAATGTGCCAGCCAAGCTTCACATTGTCAGTGCTCGGCTGAGGAAATATACTTGCTCCTGGACAAGACAGCTTTATAAATGTTAGTGGGCTCTGTTGCAATAAAAACTGTATCACTCACAGGAGGGTAGTACGAGATGTAGAATCTATTGAAAGCTTGCTTTTTATTCTCTGCCTTTTTGATAAAAGATAATGAACTCTCTTCTCCGTCTTCACCTGAGCATTATGTCAGTTTTCTGCTTTGTTAAAATAGTTATTCATTTAATTTTGCAGTATCAAGGGTTGTCTTTTGAGAATCTTGATATTGTAATAGACTATACTTACTACTCAGTATTTTGTGAGTTTAAAATTTTGCTGCTGTGTTCTCTTCCTTCTGTTGTGACTGTGCTTCTTATGTTCCATTTGGTGTTCGTAAACCGTTACTGAAAGAGGAAAAATCAAAAGCTTAGCTAATGGTGTTCTTCAGATAAAATGATCCCTAATTACTAAGGCTTCAGAATGCTACCTGTAAAAAACCAAAAATTAAAGACTCCCAAGTAGACACTCAGTAGAGTGCCTGGCATTTTCTTTATTTATTATGAGAGATAGAGGGAGGGCAGAAGGGAGAGGAGATAGGCATGATCTAAATAGCCTAGTTCCAATCTAACACAAACTTTCTGATAAATTCCAACTTCAGCAAATGCTTTCTCTGTGGTTCATACTATCTAGTTTGATCACTCTTCCCTGAGACTAGCTAACATCTCAGGTTTACGTGCTCATTAGTTCTAAAGTGTGACCGTGTTTCCTGTCTTGGTCACATTGCACTGTTTGTGGTGTGTGTGTGTCTGTGTGTGTGTGTGTGTGTGTGTGTGTGTGTGTGTGTGTCTGTGTCTGTGTGTGATTAGAAAACACAATTTTCAAGTAATTTTGTAAGTTTATATTTTCCAAGCTGGGTAAACTCACCTATTATTAAGAGGAAAGGCCTTTAATCTGTTACCAAGTGCTTTATGTACGGTGAATGGATGCAGGTGGTTGCTTTAAAAGCAATCGATGTGCTTTGCATGTATTTGTCTGTTGCAGACAGTATATGGATATCCTGTAAATGGCTGCCTGCCATCTTCTGAAAGAAATGGTTTGTTTTATGTGATAAGACAAGATTGTAGTTTATCTCAAAATGTGTTCTGTTTTCTATGGTTTGTCTTTCAGCCTTTGATTACTTAGGAAATTGTCTTAAAATCGAGATTCACTTAAGGATCAGTTTGTGTCACCATCTTTAAATGACAGCTTTGTAAGCAACTATTTTGAATTGATTTTAGTCCCTGTTAATGCCCTATGTTCCTGACTAGAAATGTGTAGAACTGTGTATCTAAACTTTATACACTATGAGAAATAACTAACAAGTGCTCTTGCTCAGTGCAATGTCTTTGTAGCAGCCAGATGGGGCTGAGTTAGAGACAGTTACAGGGCAGCATCTAGCAGGAACCAGCCTGAGCAACAGTAGGATCACAAGTTTGAGGCCAGGCTAGGTTTCATTACCAGACCCTGTGTCAAAACCATAAGATGTTTTGTGCAAGTCCTTCCAAAAAAGGTTTTGAAAAAACGTTTCTGAGGCACAGCTACAAGTGAGTATTAACCTTTGGTAACTTGTATCCTGTTTATTGTGATGCAGAAGTGTGGAGATTTGCTAATTCTGGTACTTCCTTAGATTTATCTTATAGACTATGCAAAACTTCTTCCAATAAGACTGATAGACTGATAGCTTTCTCCTGCCTAACTGTAGGCCAAAGATGTGACTCTCCAGTCTGTGAAAACAATCAACTGTAATCTGCCAGTGCTGGTTTGTGTCCTGAGACCCGTAAGAGGTGATCATCCATGCAGTTGCCGTTGTCCTTATTGTCAGTAAATTGCTTTATTACATGTTATATGTATTATGTGTCTATTTGTGTGTGTTTACACTCAGGTGCCTACATGGTCGGACATGCATATGGAGGTCAGAGTATGACTTTGGGAAGTCAGTTCTTTTCTATCATGTAGGTCCTGGACACTGAACTCAGGTTACCAGGCTTGGCAGCAAGTACCTGCTAGCCGACCTCCACATCCATCAATGTACATTTTAAACAGGGAGATTACTCTTAGCTTTTCTTTTCATAACAAACTTAATATGAACCATTCTTGCCTCTGTTATGGGGATTCATTTTAGATGCAAGCAAAACAGGGAGGGTAAGAAGAATAGATGCAAGCCATGGTTCCTGTTACTCAGCTGCACATTATCCAAAAGGGTGTTTAGATATTCTGGTTTTATGACTTATCTTTTTCTGGAAGAGAGATAAGGTCTCACTGTGTAGCTCTGGCTTGCCTGCAACTCACTATGTGGACCAGGCTGGCCTTGAACTCATTTTGATCCACCGCCTCTGCCTCTTGAGTGCAGAGATTAAAGGCATGTACCACACCTGGTTTTTAAAGTGGCTTTTCTACTTATCTATTTCGTGAGCATCATTAGACATCACAGTTTCTTCAGAAGTGCTGCTTTTAATGGCTTGTTATGATTTGTAGGAGTCTGAGGCTGGAATTTATTTCATCATCCCCAGACTCTTCCAAGATTACTTGGTGCCATGTGCAGTCTCCTACCTGTAAATAATATGGAGGTATCTTTTCTTTGTCCATCTGAAAACTGCCTCAGAAGGAACGCCTTGAAGTAGGATTCCTGGAAAAGTTGTGTCCTCCTAGTAGCTCACATTATCTTTAAACTGCTTTAAGCCGCTTTAAACTGTTTCATGTTGATTTTTATAACAAAGAATACAATAACTAAAGGATGTTATTACTTGTCTGTCTGATGGCTTGATAGTGTGTCCATGGGGGAAAATCTAATGAAGTTGCATTATAATTAGGATCTGGAAATAGTCCAAGGTGACAGTAGCAACAATTTAATAACAATAGCTAATACTGACTGGGTAGTCATTGTGTCTAGTGTTTTATGATTATTAGCTCATTGTTGTTATTCTCTCCATTTTTGCAGAAGGAAAAGTGAGCCACAAAGAGTTTACATTACTTATCTAAGTGTAAGAGGTATTATTCAAACTCAAGTTCTTTGGCTACCAGCATCTATCTTTAAGCAGAAAGAGCCTGTTCTGCGCTGGAAATACCCTAATGGGGAAGAGTCCTCCTCTCCACTACAGGGAGATGCATTTCATGTCCGTACTTAGCTGGAGAGGAGATGGTGCCTCTGTTGCTCATGTGTATACCTGCCCTCCTGTTGTCGCCTCCTCTTTCCTTCGCCAGTTGCTTGCCTGCCTTGGAATAGACAGGACAGAACATGAGGACAGAACACCTGACAGATTTTGTGTTCGAAAGGAAAATACGTATCACACTGTTCTCAGAAAGCTCTTTATTGAGGGACGGACAAAGGGGGGAGGGTAGAAATGAATGGAAATAAACATTGCAGAGCACTGGATTTTGTTTTTGACTATTCTAAGAACAGTAGGTTTGTTTCATTAGAGGTGATCTTTCCCCTCTATTTCCACAGATTCTATTTCAAGAGGTTCTTTGATCATCTGTTGGTACAGTGCCAGACATGAGCTGTAAACCAGGAAGTCTGAGCTATGACTATGTCTGTGAATGCCAGAGGATGAAACTACATTCTGATACTTTCCACTGCAGATTTCCATAGTAATAAATGACCTTCTAGCACCTGTTCAACTTGGACGGCTGGAGAGGCTCCTCCTTATGTCCAGTGTGCCACTTACAGCCTACATTTTGGTTTTAATTGGTTGTAGCTCTTTATATTTGATCAAAAACTACTGTGGTAACAAGAGACTACACAGGGTATTTAAGCCAAACCGACTGGTACCATGTAAAAACACAACCTAAGTACAACAGAAAAGCCAACGCAGAAGCAAGCTCTTACTGCTGCACATTTTACCTGATCAGGTTCCAATGAGAATTTAACTAGAGAATTTGCTTCCATGATACCAGGCTTTTGATGACACTGTGTGAAAGATGCCTTCTCATTAGTTTGATAAAGAGCTGAATGGCCAATAGCTAGGCAGGAGAGAATAGGAAGGACTTCTGGGAGAGGAATGGGAGAAGAATGTAGGTGCATGGGAGACACAAGCAAGACACTGAGTGTGTACAGAGTGGGTGAGAAGTAAAAGCTACATGGCAGAACGTAAATTAATAGAAATAGGTTAATTTAAGTTATAAGAGCTAGCTGGGAACAAGCCTAAGCTAAAGTTCAAGCTTTTATAAATAATAAGATATCTCCATGTCATTACTTGGAGGCTGGTGGTCCTGATGAGAAAGTTCAACTACAGAGATATTGGATTATAGAGGCAACTCAAAAAGAAAGCCAAACTACATTTCTATCCACTCTCTGGGGCAAGGTTGAGATCTGTAATGGTACCAGTTCTCAGGGAGGAACAAACAACAAGTAGAAGAGAGTTTGCCCAGGAGTTAGATCCCCACAGTTGTGGCTCTGGGACAGTCAGAACCAGGCTTTAAACATCTGCTTTTGCTTTGCCCAGACAGGAGCTGTTCCCCTGAAGTATTAAGGTGGCAGTTAACATGACAAATTGAAGTAGACCAGAAGTGAGAGGCACAAGTAATGTTGATACATATTTATTTTGAAGTGGTCAAGTAACTGTAATAATAATGACAGAATTAATTTTTTTACATTTATTTATTTTATTATAGTGTATGTTTTCCTGTATGTATGTATGTGTATCATGAATGTATCTGGTGCTCATTGAGGCTGGAAGGAGGCATCGGATCCCCTGGAACTAGAGTCATGAGTGTGGGAGCTGCTGTATGGGTGCTGGTGGTAACTGAAACCAAGTTCCTGTGCAAGAGCAGCAAGTGTTCTTGACCACTGAGCAACCTCTCCATACCTGGTTTCTTTTTTCAAAAACATTTAGTTGTATTATTTAAAATTTTCATTCATACACGTACCTGTGTGTGGTTGTATGCACATGAGTGTAGGTGCTCATGAAGGCTAGAGATGTCAGATTTCTTGGAGCTAGAGTTACAGGTGGTTGTGATCCATCCAGTGTCTAAGATGAGAACCAAACTTGGGTCCTCTGCAGGAGCCACAGGCACTTAACTACTGAGCCATCCCTGCAGGCCCTCTTCCCTGATTTTAAATCTGTTTGTTAAGATTTACCTTTGCTTATGATTGCGTGTGTGTGTGTTTATGTGAATTCATGTTACATGTGTGTGAGTGCCTAATGAGATGAGGAAGATGCCGCATCTGGAGCTGGATTTACAGAAAGCTTTGAAGCACCTGATGTGGGTACAGGGAACTGAACTTGGGTCCTCATGAAGAGAAACAAGTATACTTAACTATTGATCCATCTCTTGGGTCCTTATCTTATTTCTTTTTTTTAGCTTGATTTTCGTGGGTTTCACATCAAGCATCATATCCCATTCATCTCCCATAACATCATATCTGTCCTCTGCCCTTGCAACCTTCCCCAATAAAATAAAATTTAAAAGAAAAAAAACAAAACCAAAACATTTCAACAAAACATAAAACTCCACAAAACAAAACAAAGATCTCAGACTTGAAGCTATAATATGACCCTGTGAGTCACAGAGTATAGCCTTTAGTCCATACATCTGTACTTGTAATGCTCACTGGATGAGTCACTGGTTTAGTTAGAGGCCTTTGGCTTCTGCCACACCCTCAGTACTGGGAACTCTCTAGGTCATAGTCATGGAGATCTTGCTGCTTTGATTCTTCAAGTCTGGCAACTTGCCATGCACCAGCAGCTCATGGATGAGGTGGATGCTGGGGTGGGCTACCTCACAGTCCTGCTTCTGGGACTGGGTGGGAGCTGAGTTGGTCAGCCTGCCAGCTTTCCCTCATCATCAGCACCTGGGTAGCTCTCCAGCATGGCCCCTGCTGGCTCGCCCAATGCAGCAGACAGCATGGAGCAGGTCTAGTTCTGCCCTCACACTCCTGGGTGCAGCTCACCTGCACTCACCCCACCAGGGCCAGTTTTACTGTTTTGCCCAGGTGAGGTGCAAGGCCTGCTCTCCCAATAGCTGCTGAGTTTGCAGTCCCCAAATAATACACAAGATACTGTATTAATTATGAAGCTGTTGGCCGTTTGCTTGGTTTCTTACTGGCTAGCTTTGACTTAAGTATTTACCTCATAATTGTTAATCTAAGTATTTCTCTTACCAGAAAAGGGTCTGGACCTTTTATTCCTATGGTGGCTACATCATGACTCCCTGTGTTTCTCTTTCCCAGAATCCTCCTTGACTCCTAGTCCCAACTATCTTGCTTCCCTATTGGCCAACAGTGCTTTATTCAACAACCAATAGGAGAGAGATTTATACAATGGCATCTCCCATCATCTCCTCTTTTCTGTCTAAATTAAAGAAAGGTTTTAATTTTAACATAGTCAAATTATATATAACAGAACAGTTACCAAGTAAGAATATAGCTACAATATTTTGTCCATTAACATTTAGTAAGATTTAAAGAAAGTATCATCTATCCTATCTTTGTGAGTCTAAAGTCTTATATGTACCTTATCTTTTATCATAACCAAGAAAAACTATGATTATAATTATCTGCCTTCAACTCCATCAAAGACCACAGAAGGATAATATATAAACACTAGAAATGACAGAGACATCTTGCTGCCTGGACAGTCACCTGAAGTTTCTCTGTAATGTTGGGGCATCCATCTTAAGCCCATTGGCCAGTGTGTCTGGAAGACTTCTCAGCAAAGCAGGAAATTTCAAACTTATCATCTGCATTGGCAGTCTGTCAGCAATTTTTCTGTGTCCTGCAGAAAGTCTCCCAGACTCTTACACAAAGCAGGAACCCTGTAGGACTGTTTGAGTTCGGCAGCCACTCTGCTGTGG